TGGTTCTTCATTTCCCCCCCCCATCCCAAGGCCACCCCATAGAGGCCAACCCCAAGGATGGTCCCCAGTGCCTGGGGATGGTGATTGATGGGTGATGGGAGAGGGGGGGGGGGTTCTGTGCGTGTCTCACAGCGCGTGTTCATCCAGGGCGCCGGGGGGCCGGCGTCCGGGCCCCCACGGCCCCAGAGGCCCAGGTTGCGGCGCAGGGAGGTGAGCACCTGTACCTGGAGGTTGGAGACGGGCGCGGGGCTGGCGGCCAGCGCCGCCGTGGCCATGGTGCGGTTGAGCAGCGGGTTGGGGGGGTTGCTGCTGGGGGGGTGCGTGGCCTTCCAATAGGCCTCCAGGTACTCGGCCAAGTGCTCGCAAGCCTCCTCCAGCTGGTTCTCGTCCAGCACGATGTCGAACATCTCCTGGGGATGGAAGGAGGATGTGGGGTGGAGCAGGGGCTGTGGGGCTGGGTGAGTGCTATGGGGTGGGGCTGTGGGGCAAAGTGAGGGCTATGGGGCTGGGAGATGGGGCAGGGTGAGTGCTATGGGGCTGGGCTATGGGGCTGGGAGATGGGGCAGGGTGAGGGCTATGGGCCAGGGTGAGTGCTATGGGGCTGGACTACGGGGCTCGGTGAGGGCTATGGGGCAGGGCTATGTGCCAGGGTGAGGGGTATGGGGCAGGACTATGGGCCAGGGGTGAGGGGTTATGGGGTGGGGCCTATAGGGCAGGGTTGTGAGGCAGGGCTGTGGGGCAGGGTGAGTGCTATGGGGCAGGGCTATGGGCCAGGGTGAGTGCTATGGGGTGGGGGCTATGGGGCAGAGTGAGGGCTGGGGGGCAGGGCTATGGGCCAGGTTGAGGCCTATGGGGCAGACCTATGGGGCAGGGTGAGGGCTATGGAGCAGAGCTATGGGCCGGGCACGCACGGGGGGCACTGCGCCAGCTTGTCCGAGGCCACCATCTGCACGTTGAGGTGCTTGGCCTGCGACTTCCCGCGAGACTTCACCAAGCGCTGCAGGACCTGGGCGGTGGGCACAGGGACCCTGCTGAGCTCCGCACCCAGCACCCGCTCCGTGTGTCCCTGTGTGTCCCCTACCCACAACCACCCAGCACCCGCTCCGTGTCCCTGTGTGTCCTACCCACAACCACTCAGCACCCGCTCCATGTGTGTGTCCGTTTGTCCCCTACCCACAACCACCCAGCACCCGCTCCGTGTCCCTGTGTCCGTTTGTCCCCTACCCACAACCACCCAGCACCCGCTCCGTGTCCGTGTGTCCCTGTGTGTCCCCTACCCACAACCACCCAGCACCCACTCCGTGTCCGTTTGTCCCCTACCCACAACCACCCAGCACCCGCTCCGTGTCCCTGTGTCCGTTTGTCCCCTACCCACAACCACCCAGCACCCGCTCCGTGTCCGTGTGTGTGTCCTATCCACAACCACTCAGCACCCGCTCCATGTGTGTGCCCGTCTGTCCCCTACCCACAACCACCCAGCACCCGCTCCGTGTCCCTGTGTCCGTTTGTCCCCTACCCACAACCACCCAGCACCCGCTCCGTGTCCCTGTGTCCGTTTGTCCCCTACCCACAACCACTCAGCCACCCGCTCCATGTGTGTGTCCGTCTGTCCCCTACCCACAACCACCCAGCACCCGCTCCATGTCCGTGTGTCCGTTTGTCCCCTACCCACAACCACTCAGCACCCGCTCCGTGTCCCTGTGTCCGTTTGTCCCCTACCCACAACCACCCAGCACCCGCTCCGTGTCCCTGTGTCCGTTTGTCCCCTACCCACAACCACCCAGCACCCGCTCCGTGTCCCTGTGTCCGTTTGTCCCCTACCCACAACCACTCAGCACCCGCTCCATGTGTGTGTCCGTCTGTCCCCTACCCACAACCACCCAGCACCCGCTCCATGTCCGTGTGTCCGTTTGTCCCCTACCCACAACCACTCAGCACCCGCTCCGTGTCCCTGTGTCCGTTTGTCCCCTACCCACAACCACCCAGCACCCGCTCCGTGTCCCTGTGTCCGTTTGTCCCCTACCCACAACCACCCAGCACCCGCTCCGTGTCCCTGTGTCCGTTTGTCCCCTACCCACAACCACCCAGCACCCGCTCCGTGTCCGTGTGTCCGTTTGTCCCCTACCCACAACCACCCAGCACCCGCTCCCTGTGTGTCCCCTACCCACAACCACCCAGCACCCGCTCTGGGTCCGTGTGTCCCTGTGTGTCCCCTACCCACAACCACCCAGCACCCGCTCCGTGTCCGTGTGTCCGTTTGTCCCCTAACCACAACCACGCTCCCACCTTCGGCAAGGCGATCTTGATGTAGACGATGATGGGCGCCAGGGAGGTCTTGGCCAGCTGCGCGGGGTGGTTGATGGTGTCTGCGTCCAGCGCCACGAGCTGCAGCGTCCGCGCCAGCTCGGAAGATGCGCTCGGTCTCGCTCTGCACCTCGGCTGTGGGATGGGGACATCGAGGTCAATGGGGCCGGGAAGAGTTAAAGGACAAAGCCACCCCCCACCACCCCCCCCCCGACCGTGACCCTCTATCCCCAACCCTTCGGTGACCCCAAGGCAGGGATGGGGGCCAAAGGGATGTGTGTGTCCCCCCACACCGTTGTCCCCCCCACTCCCTCCCCACACACACACACACACCAGGGGTGCCCCAAGCTACATACCCAAGACATCTGTATCAGGAGGCAGGGGAGGAAGGAGCAGCGCGGAGGGGAAGGAACCCAAAGGAAACAACAGAGAGAAGATAAAGGAGGAGGAGGAGGAGGAGAGGCTGAATCAAACGGGTTGGGGGGGAGCACAAGGGACAGGGTCCCCCCTTGTTGGGACAGGAGGCTGATACAGATGGAGGCTTGGGGGGGGATGTTAGGGGGTTCAATGGGGGGCGTTGAGCACTGGAGGAGGAGGAAGGGGGGGATCCGGGATGGGGGTGCTGAGGCTCACCCAGGCTGGAGCGCGTGCTGGAGCGCTCGATGATGGTGTGCTTGCTGGGGTTGTTGAGGACAGAGCGCTTGGCCAGCGAGATGTCGGCCGTCACCCTCGTGATGGAGATCCTGGGGGATGCAGGGGGGCACAAAACCCACCCCAAATGGGCACACCCGGACCCTTGGGGACCCTCCTGACACCCCCCCCCCCCTCCACTTTCATCCCCCTCCTATGCTGGAGCTCCCCCCAGCAGCAAGAACCATGGGGCAAGGTGTTAGGGGTCCCCCATAGGGTTAGGGGGTTCCCCCATGGGATTAAGAGCCCCCCATGATGTTAGGGATCCCCTCCATGGTGTTAGAGGTCCATCCCCTCATGGCATATGGGGTTCCTCTTTGGTGTTAGGGTCCCCCTCCATGGTGTTAGGGGTCCCCCCATGGGGTTAGGGGTCCCCTTGTGGTGTTAGGGGCTCTCCCATGGGGTTTCCTCAATGGGATTAAGGCCCCCCACGATGTTAGGGGTTCCCTCCACGGTGTTAGAGGTCCATCCCCTCATGGCATATGGGGTTCCTCTTTGGTGTTAGGGTCCCCCCATGGTGTTAGGGGTCCCCTTGTGGTGTTAGGGGCCCTGCCATGGGGTTAGGGGGTTCCCCCATGGGATTAAGGCCCCCCCACGATTTTTAGGGGTCCCCTCACGGTGTTAGGAGTCCGTCCCTTCATGGCATTAGGGGTTCCTCTTTGCGTTAGGGGTCCCCTCATGGGGTTAGGGGATTTTCCCTATGAGATTAGGGGTCCCTTTATGGAGGAATGGGTCCCACACAACAGTGTTAGGGGTTTCCCCCATGGGATTAGGGGACCCCTCATGGGATCACCCCCTCCTTGGGGTGAGGAGTCTCCCTGTAGCATTAAGTGTCCCTCATGGGGTCAGGGGTCCCCTTTTGCCATTAGGGACCCCTCACGGGGTGATGGGTCCCCCCATGGTGTCAGTGCCCCCCCCCCCCCCCCATGTCTCACCTGCCATCAAAGCGATGCTTCAAGAAGTCAAAGAGTGCTTTCTGCATCATGTCCGTGACCTGGGCAGGGATGCACAGAGGGGTCCATGGCACCGGGGTCCCCCCTATGTGTCCCATTCCCCCCCCGTGCCCCCCCCCCCCCCCAACTCCTCACCTCGTACCCCTTCAGCGACGGCCCCACCAGGATGATGGGGCCCATGGAGGGTACCACGTCGTAGGGGGGCACGTGCTCGGTCTGTGGGGCAGAGCTGGGGGTCAATGGGGTGAGCGCATGGATGGAGGGATGAGGATGCTCAGCTTCACCCCTGCGAGGGGGGGGGGGGGTAGCTCCAAAAGAAAGGGGGGGGGGGGGGGGTGCTGCAAGCAGGGGGACCCCCAAACCCCTCCCGGGGGGGGCCCTCCCGGGGGTCCTGTCGGTACTCACCGACTTCTGCTTCTGCTTCGCTACGCGCGAGGGGCCGGGGGGGCGGGGGCGAGAGGAGACAAACAAGGCATGCGTGTTACCAGCCATGGGGCACAGGAAGCATCGCCCTGCTCTGGGTTAGCTTCTGGGGTGCAAGCGGGGGGCTCGGAGCGGGGCGATTACCCCCAGTTAAGCCTTTGCAGACCCGCTTCTTCCCCCCCCCCCCCCATGGTGGGGCTGTGGTTGCACCCAGAGCCCCCCAGGTCCTGCCAGCTGAGGGGGAGGAATGGTCCACTCTCATTCGCAGGGGGGGTGAGGGGGTGACACGCCGGCCGTGCTGGCACACACCATGCGCACACATGGGGACCCCAGGCAATGGAGGGGCATGGACTGATCCATCCATAGGCCATGGGGGAGGCAGGCAGAGATTCATCCATCCCATGTACTATGGACTGACCCATCCCCATGGGCCACGGGGGGAGGCAGACACAGACTCATCCACCCCATGGACCACGGACTCATCCATCCCATGGACTATGGGGGGAGACAGCCATGGACTCATCCATCCCATGGGCCACAGGGGGAGGCAGCCACAGACTTATCCACCCCCATGGACCGCGGACTCATCCATCCCATGGACTATGGGGGGAGGCAGCCACAGACTCATCCATCCCATGTACCATGGGCTGATCCGTACCACGGATCATGGGGAAGGCAGCCATGGACTCATCCATCCCATGTACCATGGACTGATCCATCCCATGGGCCATGGGGGGAGGCAGCCACAGATTCATCCATCCCATGGACCAAGGACTGATTCATCCCATGGACCAAGGACTGATCCATCCCATGTACCATGGACTGATCCATCCCATGGGCCATGGGGGTAGGCAGCCACAGACTCACCCACCCCCATGGACCATGGACTGATCCATCCCATGACCACAGGGGGAGGCAGCCATGGAGTCATCCATCCCATGGACCACGGGGGGAGGCAGCCACAGCAGCCACACTCATCCATCCCATGGACCACGGACTGATCCATCCCATGAACCATGGGGGGAGGCAGCTGCAGGCTGATCCACCCCATGGACCAAGGACTGATCCATCCCATGGGCCATAGGGGGAGGCAGCCACGGACTCACCCACCCCCATGGACCAAGGACTGATCCATCCCATGGGCCATAGGGGGAGGCAGCCACGGACTCACCCAACCCCATGGACCATGGACTGATCCATCCCATGGAGCACGGGGGGAGGCAGCTGCAGACCCATCCATCCATAGACCACGGACAGACCCATCCCATGGACCACAGGGGGAGGCAGCCACGGACTCATCCACCCCATGGACCACGGGCTGATCCATCCCATTGATCACGGGGGGGGGGATGCAGCCACGGACCGATCCACCCCATGGCCCGGGGAGGGGGGAGGCAGTGTTAGGGCAGGGCAGGGTGCAGCAGGCGAGCGCGGGGCCCGGCCGGGTGCCGTTACCTTCCTAAAGAAGGGGATGCGCTTGTTGTGGGCTGGGGGGTGGTGACACTGCTCACGCTACTCTTAGGGGAGCGGTGGGTCTCCATGGCCGCCTCCTCCTCCTCTAACTCATCGGGGTCAAGGCAAAGCTAGGCATGTCCAGGGCACCTGGGGACGGGGCAACCGGAGCAGGGGATGGGGTTGGGGTTGGGAGGGGGAGAGAAGAAGAGCGATGATGATGATGATGATGGAAGAAGGGGAACATGGAAGTGTGGAAGAAGCAGGAGGGGATGGGAGAGGAGATGGGGGGGTCCCCAAGGGGATGGGGGGGGGGGGGGGGTTGCACCCGCCTGCCTGCACCGGAGCTAAGGACAAGGAGGGGGGTCCTGCCGCGGGGACCCCCGACACTCTTACCGCTGGCGGGGGGGGTCGGCCGGCGCGTCCCCGTCACCACATCACCCAGGCTGGAGCTGGAGTTGTCGCCTGATTTGCTGCATGGGAGAAGGATGGGATGGGGGGGGGGGGGGGTGTGAGGATGGGATGGGGATGGGGATGGACATGGAGAGGGGGGGGGTGAGCACCTTGCAGAGCCGGGACAGGAGCCGGTGCCCCCGTGGCTGAGCCGCACCTGGAGCTCAGGCGGTTCTGCCTCATCTTCTGCTCCTGCAGCAGCCGCATGGCCTCCAGCTTGACGGGGCTGGGGATGAAGCCGACCTCGCAGCCCTCCTTCACCAGGCGCCCGATCCACCAGTCGTTGTTGTACTTCTGGGGGGGGGGAAGCGGGGGGCAGGAAGCCCTGAGACCCCCAATTCCTGCTGTTCCCCTACTCCCCTTCTCCCCATCACCAACCCCGTGCCCACCTCCTTGATGTGCAGGAAGTCCTTGGGCTCGAAGCAGATGGCCATGCCCTGCACCGGGACGTCGTCGCCGGCCGATGGGTTGTACCCGACGTTGGTGCGGACGGCGAAGGCCACCGGCTTCGTCTGGCAACGGGACAGGGATCAGCACCTTCCAACCCCCCCCCCCCCCCCCAGCACCCACAGAGAGCCGGGGACAGGCAGGAGCTGGTGCCCCCGGCCGTGGGTACCACGGCACAGCCCCTCACTGGGGCACCAATGGGGCGGTAAGGAGGGGCTCACTGCATGGAGCAAGGGGAGAACCCGGGATCCCAGTGCCTGCCAGTGCCACCCACTGCTCCCAGTGCCACCCAGTGCACCCAGTGCCACCCAGTACTCCCAGTGCCACCCAGTGCCACCCACTGCTCCCAGTGCCACCCAGTGCACCCCCTGCTCCCCATTGCCACCCAGTGCACCCCCTGCTCCCCATTGCCCACCCCGTGCACCCATACCCCCCAGTGCTCTCCAGTGCACCCAGTGCCACCCTCTGCTCCCAGTGCCACCCAATGCACCCCCTGCCTCCTACTGCCATCCAGTGCACCCAGTGCCACCCACTGCTCCCAGTGCCACCCAATGCACCCCCTGCCTCCTACTGCCATCCAGTGCACCCAGTGCCACCCACTGCTCCCAGTGCCACCCAATGCACCCCCTGCCTCCTACTGTCATCCAGTGCACCCAGTGCCACCCACTGCTCCCAGTGCCACCCAGTGCTACCCACTGCTCCCAGTGCCACCCAATGCACCCCCTGCCTCCTACTGCCATCCAGTGCACCCAGTGCCCCCCACTGCTCCCAGTGCCCCCAGTGCACTCACTGCTCCCCAGTGCACCCAGTGCCACCCAATGCACCCACTGAACCTTGCCACCCCGTGCACCCACTGCACCCCAGTGCACCACTGCTCCCCAGTGCACCCAGTGCCACCCAGTGCACCCAGTGCCACCCAGTGCGCGCCCTGCTCCCACTGCTTCAAAGTGTACCCCAGTGCTTCTGTGCCACCAGTGCACCCCTGCTCCCCAGTGCCCCCCAGTGCTCTCCAGTGCACCCACTGCTCCCCAGTGCACCCATTGCTCCCCAGTGCCACCCAGTGCACCCACTGCTTCCCAGTACTCCCACTGCCCCCAGTGCACACACTGCTCCCAGTGCCACCCAGTGGCCCCCCAGTGCACCCACTGCTCCCAGTGCACCCACTGCCACCCAGTGCACCCCCTGCTCCCACTGCTTCCCAGTGTACCCCAGTGCTTCCGTGCCACCCAGTGCAACCCTGCTCCCCATTGCCACCCAGTGCATCCAGTGCTCTCCAGTGCACCCACTGCTCCCAGTGCCACCCAGTGCACCCACTGCTTCCCAGTACTCCCCACTGCTCTCAGTGCCCCCAGTGCCCCCTCCCGTGCCACCCAGTGCACCCCCTACTCCCCAGTGCCACCCCGTGCGCCCAGTGCCCCTCAGTGCTCTCCAGTGCACCCCCTACTCCCCAGTGCCACCCACTGCACCCACTGCTTCCCAGTGCTTCCATGCCACCCAGTGCACCCCCTGCTCCCCATTGCCACCCCGTGCGCCCAGTGCCCCCCAGTGCTCTCCAGTGCACCCCCTGCTCCCCAGTGCCACCCACTGCACCCACTGCATCCCAGTGTCCTCCAGTGCCCCCCATTGCTCCCCAGTGCCCCCCCCCCCCCCCCAGCTCCAGCCTTCCAGCGCAGGCGATGCCGTGGGGCAGGGGCAGGGGCAGGGGGGGGGAGCCGTGGCCCGGGGGCTCCCTCCCACCTTGGCTTTCTCGAGCTGGGCCATGGCCTGGCGCTCCGCCTCCCTGCGCAGCGCCTCCCGGTCCTCCTCCAGCGACACGTCCGAGTCCGACGGGCGGCTCGTGTAGGACTCGGCCGAGCCCTAGAGGGTAGGGGGAGGACGGGGGGGGACGGGGTCAGTGCCCACCCCCAGCACCCATCGCCCCCCAGCCTCGTGTCCATGGGGGGGGCGGACACGAACCCGACCCCCAGCGCTGCCCCTGCCCCACGGATCCGGCCCCCGCGGTGATGGAGCCGCAGCTGCTCCCGCAGGGAGCCGGCGCCCCCCCCGTCGGAAGGGAGGGAATTGGGGACCCCCCCTCCCTGCATCTCCCCATTGCCTCCACACACACCCCCCCCCCCCCCCATAGCATGGGGTCACCCCAGGACAAGGCTTGGTGGGGGTCAGAGCCCCCCGTAACCCAAAGCAACCCCCAGCCCATGGCAAGGGGCCACCCCCAGGACAAGGCTTAGTGGGGGTCAAAGCCCCCGTAACCCAAAGCAACCCCCAGCCGCATGGCAATGGGTGCTGCAGGGGAGGGCAAAGGCACCAAGCACCCTGGTGCTGCCCCCAAGTCCCTCCAGACCCCCCCCCACCCGTGGGGTTGTGGGACCCCCAATTTGCCCCATGGAGGTGTTTGGGGAGGGGGGGTTGCACTCCCTTTCACCCCAACCCCAGCCATGCGTCAGCAACTGGGGACACCCCACCCCAAAACCATGGGGCAGGGAGACCAAGGGGTCAGCCCTGAGCCCTATGGGGAGGCTTTAAGGGGGGACAGAGGGGACACCCTCACCCCACACCCGCCATGGGTCCCTCAGCGGATGGGGACCGAGGGGTGCTGAAGGGGGGGGGGCAGAGGCTCACCGGGGCAGCGGGGGGCTCTTTGCCGGGTACCTCCATGGCTGTGGGGCCGGGGCGAGCGCTGGGGCGGGCGCTGGGCTCGGGGCACCCGCTCAGGTTTCAGCCCCGGGTATATTTAGCCCAGAGCCAGGCAGGGGTGGGGGCCACGGGGGGGGGGGAGAGACCAAATAGGGCCCAAATATGGGGGGGGACGGACACACACACATTGGGAACGGGGTGCAGCACCCCAATATGGGAGGGGGACACGGCGGGAATGGGGGTGCAGGACCCCAAATGGTCCCAGTGACTGCAGGGCTGAGATTGATGATGGGGAGCCGGGGGGGGGGGGCACAACCATTGCAATCCTTGCGCTGCCAAACCTGGCTCCTGCCGTGATTCCCCGGGGGGATGAGGGACCCCCCCCAATGCAGGCAGAGCCCTGGGGACCCCCCACCCCCAAATGCTGTGTGCCCCCCCCGCTCACCTGCCTGACGAAGCTGTTGGAGGTGGTGTCGGACGAGGTGCTGCCATCCGAGCGCTTGAAGCGGCTCTTGCGCCTGCCTGTACTTGCCCTATGGAGAGCAATGGGGGAGCCCCAGGACTTGGGGGGCAGCTCTGACACCCCCCCCCCACACTCCCACCCCACCCCAAAGCCCCATCCCCAGCATTGCTCCATCCCCCCCTCCCTGCCCCACAGGTTCCTATGGGATGAGAGAAGGGAAACTGAGGCAGGGAAGGGGTTGCTCCCACTGCCATGCAGCCCCCCCCCCCCCCCAAGGGCCCAGCATCGCCTCATCCATGGGGATTGGCTCTGTGATCCCAATGGAAAAGCGCAGCTGATGGGATGTGGGGCAGACCCCACTGTGCCCTCAATCCCCCCACGCCCCATAGATTCCACCCCCCCCCCCCCCAAGCCAAACCTGAACCCAGGTGGGGGGACACCCACATGCTCCTATTGGGATGGATGGGGGGGCAATGGGGATGCCCCAGTGCCCCCCCACCCTGTGTCACAGGGACAGCTGGGCCCAGCTGCCACCACCACGGGGGGGGGGTCCCATAATGGGCACCTCTGGGTATTTTTAGGTCCTTTCCCCCCACACCTCACCCACCCATGGGGCTCAGTGTGGGGTCCCCATGGGGGGGGTTTGCCACAGCCACCCAGAGACCCCCCCCAGCCATGGAGATGTGGGGGACCCCCCAGCGCCTCCATCCCTTCTATGTGTGTTTCCCCCCCCATTATCACCCTAAGTAGTTGGGGGGCAGCACCCAGACACCCCATGGGGATGGGATGCCCCATGGGGGGCACATCCCTTGTCCCCCAAGGGGATAAACGGGGGGGGGGGCACACACAAACCACCCCAACAGAGTTTTCCCAATGCCTCAAAGTTTCCCCATGCACCAGCATCCGTGGGGGGGGAACACACACAACCACAGTGACACAGCAAGCACAGCCCCCCCCATGCACCCCCAAACCTGCGATGGGGCCCGCATTAGGGGTAGCTTCATTATGGGGAAGGGGGGGGGGGGCACCCTGTTTTGCACGCGGGGAGCGGGGGGATCACCCCAGTTATGGGGTGTAGGGGTTGGGGGGAATCAATGGGGCTTCCCCCCCCCCCCTTTTCATTGCGGCCGGGGGGGGTCACCTGGAGGGCGGCGTTGTCCAAGACGTCCATCTGGATGTCCTGCGTGGAGCTGGGGGGGGTCCGGGCCATGCCGCCTTCCCGCACCATGGAGCGGTGGAGGGGGGGGACCAGGATGGGGATGGGGACGATGGAGCCCGGGCCTGGGCTCGGCGGTGACGGCGGCCCCGGCGTGCGGCGATGGGAGGAGGAGGAGGAGGAGGAGGAGGAGGAGGAGAGGAGGAGGAAGGGGGAGTGGGGACGGTGCCGGCGAAGGGGGGGGGCACAAGGGATGGCGGCGGCTGCCTCCGCCTTGGCCGCTCCCACCGCGTTCCGGCAGGGATGGGGGGTGCGGAGCCGTGGTTGCCATGGAGGGGACCCCAAATCCTCCCCTTCCCATAGAGAGGAGTCCCCAGCCGCCCCCCCCCCCTTCCATACAGGGCACCCCCAAAGCCCCCTTCCCATGGGGGGCACCCCCAAAACAGATCCTTTCCCTTGGGGAAAGCGAGGGAGGGTGACGCAGAGCCCCCTTCCCAATGGGCTGCTCAGTGAGGGGGGGTACCCCGAAAGGAGATGGGGGAACACCGCGTCCCGTCCCCCCCCCCCAGGCTGGTGTGTGGGGCTCGGGGGCACACACGTGCAGTGGCAGCGATCCCAAACCCCAGTGCTCCATTGGGATGCTCTGGGGCTCCCCCAGGACATGGGTACCCCTAAACCTCCAGCTCCCAGACACGGAGCCATGTGGGAAAGGGCACCCCGGGGACCCCATAGCAATGGGGGGGGCGGGACGACGGACACACCCCGTGGCTGATGGCCCCCATTGACTCCCAGCCCCATCCTGCCCATGGGGCGAGGGGCAGATCCTGCCCCCCAACAGGACGGGCTGAGGCCCCCCCCCAGCCTCATCTCAATGGCACCGGCTGTTGGAAGGCCCGAGATTCCTGTTCCATGGGGTCAGGAGCGTGTTCCCGGGAAGCAGGACAGCTGATGCCATGTTTTCCATGCTCAGCCCCATCCGTCACAGTGGGGAAGGGATGAGCTGCCCACAGCGGTGCAGGATGGGACCACCACCAGCCCCTTGTGCTTGACCAAGCTCCGGGTGTTGGGGCTTCACTGCCCCCCCCCCCCCCCAGCACCAACCCTGCCCCTCTCTCTGGGTGCTGCAGCCCAGGCAGGAGGAGCAGCACCCGAGGGTGCTGGTGCAGAGCAGGGGGTGCTGGGGATGGGGTTGGGGAGGCAGAGCTGCTGCAGGCAGATGTGTGGGAGCGGGATGCGGTGACAGCATCAGCTTCCCACTGCCAGCGCGGCTCTGATGGGCTCTGCTCTGCTCCTGCACCCACAGCGTCAGTGCTCCTGCACCCACCTGCACCCGCAGTGCTCCTGTATCCACCTGCACCCACAGCATCGGTGCTCCTGTACCTGCAGTGCTCCTGTATCCACCTGCACCCACAGCATCGGTGCTCCTGTACCTGCAGTGCTCCTGCATCCACCTGCACCCACAGCATCGGTGCTCTTGTACCTGCAGTGCTCCTGCATCCACCTGCACCCACAGCATCGGTGCTCCTGTACCTGCAGTGCTCCTGCACCCACCTGCACCCACAGCGTCAGTGCTCCTGCACCCACCTGCACCCGCAGTGCTCCTGTACCCACCTGCACCCACAGCATCAGTGCTCCTGTATCCACCTGCACCCACAGCATCAGTGCTCCTGTACCTGCAGTGCTCCTGCACCCACCTGCACCCACAGCGTCAGTGCTCCTGCACCCACCTGCACCCGCAGTGCTCCTGCATCCACCTGCACCCACAGCATCAGTGCTCCTGTATCCACCTGCACCCGCAGTGCTCCTGTACCCACCTGCACCCACAGCATCAGTGCTCCTGTATCCACCTGCACCCGCAGTGCTCCTGTACCCACCTGCACCCACAGCATCAGTGCTCCTGTATCCACCTGCACCCGCAGTGCTCCTGTACCCACCTGCACCCACAGCATCAGTGCTCCTGTATCCACCTGTGCCCACAGCATCAGTGCTCCTGTATCCACCTGTGCCCACAGCATCAGTGCTCCTGTACCCACCTGCACCCACAGCATCAGTGCTCCTGTATCCACCTGTGCCCACAGCATCAGTGCTCCTGTATCCACCTGCACCCACAGCATCAGTGCTCCTGTACCCACCTGCACCCACAGCATCAGTGCTCCTGTATCCACCTGTGCCCACAGCATCAGTGCTCCTGTATCCACCTGTGCCCACAGCATCAGTGCTCCTGTACCCGCAGTGCTCCTGCACCCACCTGCACCCACAGCATCGGTGCTCCTGTACCTGCAGTGCTCCTGCATCCACCTGCACCCGCAGTGCTCCTGCATCCCCAGTGCTCCCTGTTCTGCCCCTGTCACTGCTCCAGGACATCCAGAGCAGGACACAATGAAGCTGGCAGAGGACCATAGGATCCCAGCCTGGTTTGAGTTGGAAGGGAGCTTAAAGCCCATCCAGCTCCAACCCATGCCGTGGGCAGGGACCCCTTCCACTGGAGCAGCTTGCTCCAAGCCCCTGTGTCCAACCTGGCCTTGAACACTGCCAGGGATGGGGCAGCCACAGCTTCTCTGGGCACCCTGTGCCAGCGCCTCAGCACCCTCCCAAGGAAGAGCTTCTGCCTAAGAGCTCATCTCAGTCTCCCCTCTGGCAGGTTAAAGCCATTCCCCTTGGCCTGTCCCTACATCCCTTGTCCCGAGCCCCTCTCCAGCTTTCCTGCAGCCCCTTTAGGCACTGGAGCTGCTCTCAGGTCTGCCCTTCAGGACCCTTCTCTTCTCCAGGCTGCCCCAGCCCAGCTCTCTCAGCCTGGGTCCAGAGCAGAGCTGCTCCAGCCCTCGCAGCATCCCCATGGCCTCCTCTGCCCTCATCCATCCCCTCCACGTCCCTCTTGTGCTGCTGCCCCAGGGCTGGACCCCACACGGATCCCAGCCGCAGATCCTTGGTCGCCGCGCTCCAGGCTCTGCCCTGCCCGAGGCTGCTCTGCACCGCGCCGTTTGTTGCCGGAACCCGCGGAGCCCCGTTCCCACAGCACACGCCTGTGTTTATCCCTGTTTTTCTCTCCGAGTGAACCAGGAAATCTGTTGCCATCGGCTCCTTTCCTCACACCATCTGCTGAGCGCGCCTGCGGCCGCCAGATCCCAAAGGAGCCGTTCCCATCCTGTCTCTGGTGCTTCGGGAGCTGCCTTTGGGGGGCTCGCACCCTCCGACCGCTCCAAAGGTGGAAGGAGGCAGGAAAAGGGCTGCGAAAGGATGCGTTTAGGGCACTATTTGGCACCGGGGTGGTTAGAAAGTGATGTTTTCACTGCACAAGTTTGCTTTCAAGGGGGAATTCGGTGCCGGAGTTGGGTGCAATCCGTGTGGTATCACTGCGTCATTCCCTGCTCCCGGGACCTCTTCACCGCTGCTCCCGCAGAGGCTCTGGGATGCTCCTCCCACATTAAGGACACCGGTTTCAGGCCTCGCTCTTGGTTTTCCTGTGCCAGGAGGGCCCAGGACATCCCTGAGCCCGTCCCTGCTTTCCCAGGGAATAAAGAGGGGCCCCGAGATCCCAGCTCCGATCCCAGCTCCAATCCCTGCTCATCCACACACAGCCGAGGGAAGAGCTTCGGAGGAACTGCAGGAACCAGAGCCCGGACGATGCTGAGCTCACCCCATCCTGCAGCTCCCAGGCTTGGGGACAGGGAACAACCGTGTCCCGGCTCCCTCGGGGCCAACAATGGGACTGGGACCCGTCCCATCACCCCCAATCCGCTCCCATCACCCCCAACCCGGTCCCATGGCTCCTAACCTGCTCCCATCGCCCTCAATCCCGTCCCATGGCTCCTAACCCAATCCCATTGCTCCTAACCCGGTCCCATCGCCCCCAATCCGCTCCCATCACCCCCAACCCGGTCTCATTACTCCTAACCCAGTCCCATGGCTCCTAACCCGGTCCCATCACCCCTAACCTGCTCCCATCACCCCCAATCCCGTCCCATTGCTCCTAACCCGGTCTCATTGCTCCTAACCCGGTCCCATCGCCCCCATTCCGCTCCCATCACCCCCAATCCGCTCCCATCACCCCCAACCCAGTCCCATGGCTCCTAACCCGCTCCCATCACCCCCAATCCCGTCCCATGGCTCCTAACCCGATCCCATTGCTCCTAACCCGGTCCTATCGCCCCCATTCCGCTCCCATCATCCCCAATCCGCTCCCATCACCCCCAATCTGCTCCCATCACCCCCAACCCGGTCTCATTGCTCCTAACCCAGTCCCATGGCTCCTAACCCGGTCCCATCACCCCTAACCTGCTCCCATCACCCCCAATCCCGTCCCATCGCTCCTAACCCGGTCTCATTGCTCCTAACCCGGTCCCATCGCCCCCATTCCGCTCCCATCACCCCCAATCCGCTCCCATCACCCCCAACCCAGTCCCATGGCTCCTAACCCGCTCCCATCACTCCCAATCCCGTCCCATGGCTCCTAACCCGATCCCATTGCTCCTAACCCGGTCCCATCGCCCCCAATCTGCTCCCATCACCCCCAATCCGCTCCCATCACCCCCAACCCGGTCTCATTGCTCCTAACCCAGTCCCATGGCTCCTAACCCGGTCCCATCACCCCTAACCTGCTCCCATCACCCCCAATACCGTCCCATTGCTCCTAACCTGGTCCCATCGCCCCCATTCCGCTCCCATCACCCCCAATCCACTCCCATCACCCCCAACCCAGTCCCATGGCTCCTAACCCGCTCCCATCACCCCCAATCCCGTCCCATGGCTCCTAACACGATCCCATTGCTCCTAACCCGGTCCCATCGCCCCCAATCTGCTCCCATCACCCCCAATCCGCTCCCATCACCCCCAACCCGGTCTCATTGCTCCTAACCCAGTCCCATGGCTCCTAACCCGGTCCCATCACCCCTAACCTGCTCCCATCACCCCCAATCCCGTCCCATCGCTCCTAACCCGGTCTCATTGCTCCTAACCCAGTCCCATCGCCCCCATTCCGCTCCCATCACCCCCAATCCGCTCCCATCACCCCCAACCCAGTCCCATGGCTCCTAACCCGCTCCCATCACTCCCAATCCCGTCCCATGGCTCCT